GAGTTCAAAATTTATTATCCATTACCGTACTGCACATTTTGCTTTTACCACCAATATGTACTTTTTGATACAGCGTAACTCGAAAACCGTATGGAATACAAAAAAACCGAGACCACCTCCAGTGTTGGGCTTTACATGCTCTACAAAATGCAAAAAAGAATGGGTCTCTAGCATTAACGGTTCCCGAATTAGAGACAGTTTTCAGTTTCGGTATCTTATGGCCGCTACTCCCGTGAAAATGCACCGATTGACCCCAAATTCATGGAGATGAAAGATGACCTGAAGGGTAACACTTTCCAATAATATTATTGGTTAAGTCTGTGTAGTGTCTGAATAACAGGGCAAAAAAAATTTTTTTCGTAAAAAATTTCATTTTTTTGAAAATTTTGACCCATTTGACCTTGAAGTAAAGGTCAAAGGTCAAATCCAAGGGTATATTTGAAATCTACACATATGACTTTTGGAAAGCCGTCTATAGAAATTTTTCCCATAACTCCTTCCGTAGGGTAGATAATTAGCATTTAATTTTGCCATTTTTAGACAAGGGTGCATTGTAATGAGTGCCACACCCAGACCCCAATACCGACAAAGCCCAAATTTTACGTGGAACGAGTTGAGATTTTAGGTGACCTAAATCCATGAGATGGGTACGGGGGCCCTTACCGTCTAGGAGGAGAAGCGGTAACGGTAGCCGTCCGGCGGAGCCGGCGGAACGATCCGGACGGGACCGAAACCATGTGTACCGCCAGCGCTAACGCTGGTGGTACAACTAATTCACAAAAACTAAACAATGCAGAGAGAGAGAGAGAGAGAGAGAGAGAGAAAGAGAGAGATTTGCTAAAAAAAAAAAAATTATTTCACAAAGAAAAAGTTCTTTCCAGAAACTGATAAAATGGCCCAACTTGCTGCGATACCTCCAGACTACACCATAATCACCCTGAGTATAGAGATCTCAACCCTTCCTCTGTGTACAGACTACACCATACTCACACCCTGAGTATAGAGATGTCAATCCTTCCTCTGTGTACAGAGTACATCATACTCACCCTGAGTATAGAGATCTCAACCCTTCCTCTGTGTACAGACTACACCATACTCACCCTGAGTATAGAGATCTCAACCCCTCTTCTGAGGATATTCTGATGACAGCGTGCATCATCCCCCTGTACTTGAGCTGAGCATGCTGGGCGTCGATCTTCTGTCCCTGGATCTGGAGGCGCGTCTTGGTTGTATCTATTGGGAATGTGCCTGATGTGAAAGAATTGAATAAGAATAATAATCAATAAAAACCAAATACTTACTTTTAGGACATAAAAAAGTGGTATGATTTCAAGTTAGTAACGATGACTGGTAATAAACAAATAAATAATGAAAGAGATCATGTCATCAATTCAGGAATGGTATGTTCATAGTTCAAATAATAAAAGAAATACTCTTAGGACAACCACAGGTTGCTGTGTATGCGGGATGCCAAATAATAAAAGAGCAGGTAAAATTCTCGCATGGTCTACCAGCATTAAAACCTGAGGTGACTTTTTATCAGGCAATCAGCTTAAATTCTAACTGATATTTTCTGTGAAACTCAATTTAGTGGGCTAAAATTAAAAGCACACTTTGTCACACAAGTCATTTTGTAAAACAGGCCAGTCAGATGAAATGAATGCATGCTACTTTATGAAATGAGGCCAATCGGTAAATTATTGTTATGTGTACATACAAGTTACTGCCTGGGCACAGACTTAGTAGTTTTATCACGCAAAGCCTGGACCCAGTCGCCTGAGTTTCAGAGATTCCTGTAAGCTCACATCGGTTAAAAGTAGAGACATTGCGAAAAAAGTCCTCTACCAGGGCCACAGATCAGTTTTTCACTAGATTTTTGAAGATATTTTTCTGGTTTACATGTGCACTTTTCTGTCCCACTGCAGTGGATCATTGTGTTATGAATTTGTCTGAAACATACATCTGCCATTATACAGCAAAAAATCTTAAGTCAATCTGTGGCCGTGCACGGTACGTAGAGGAAATGCTGAGCCTTTGAGGGGCGAGTTTTCACTGTCTGTGACCTATGAAACTGTTGGTATATAGTAGTGCAAACTGACATTGCATCATATGTATGACTAACTATAACAATTACACTGAGTACACTAAGTGCACATCTCTGACCTCATTGTCTGCTCTATTTATAAATCCAAAGATAATACAGTAGACACAAAGATATTTCACCACTAATAATTTGTGTAGCTTTTTCAAGTTTCCAGCCTATAGACAGAATACGTCACATATCTCAGACACTTTGCCAATTGGGACTGAAAAATTTTTCTTTGAAGCAAAGATTCAATAAAGGCAATGTTTTTAAGGATTCAGCAAATATCAAGGGAAAAATCGTACCACAAAATTTGTTAAAATGTACAAAAAATTGAGTTATTATGCACCCAGTTTTGCTTTCCTGTAACATACTTTCTTTTTGCCCGAATGAAATTGCTGAAATTGATCAAAACTGAGGGAGTTTGAGGATATGGCTTGTTGGAAGGGGGGGGGGGTTGGAAAGGGGGGGGGGATTCACATTCCAACTCTGACATCTGGGGTGATAAATGACATGGCACTAAAATGGGACACAGCACGAAGGAGGTTACAAACTGTGTACATTGCATAATGCCTCCACTAACAGCAGAACTGTCACAGTGATCATGCAGCTAGTACGCTCACTGTGACATTTACTGTTGAAATCACAGCTGGACTAATATAGAGGAGATAAAACAAGTGACAGTCACAGCAGATACCAAACTATAGGAGGGGAAAAAAATTCACTCATTTGGAGTAGAAATTTATAGCTTAAAATTAAAAATGTTTTACAAGTAAAGCATGCTTTACTTTATATTTTGAAAAAAATATAGCAAACTCAAATCACTTCAAACCTTAGCAACATTTATATAAAGAGTTAAATTCATTGACAGGATTCAATATCAACCTTTTTCCCTACTTTAATAATAATAATTCTTTCTTGCCTTACATTTTGCTTTGTCTAATGTTCACTTTACGTGGTCAAGACAAACAAGAGTATGGACATTATTATTTACCATAATATACCATCATACATATACTGAAAAGGAGAGGAACTTCAAAATCATGTAAACTAAAATGCAAAATCTAGGCCTCTCATATTTATTCTGGACTACTGCCAAACCCCCAAGGAAACTAATCTTGATAAGGATAGAGCAGCTGCAAAGCCTAGCACTTTCTTTGGTAAAAATAAATGACAGAACAGTTATCTTTTAAACTTGTGTTAAAGGGATAATAACTCTTTGTATGAGATCTATATTTCACAATAAAGACATTGTGAACAACTCATAGAAATATAATATATTCTGTTTTACCACAAAAATGGCAGTTAAGCTATTATTCTGATATTTGAGCTTGTCTTCAGACCACGTGCCCTCCATTGATGGCTATACTCTGTTATAATCTCTTAAGAGATTATGACAAAAAAAAAAAAAAAAAAAAAAAAAAAAAAAATTTTTAAAAAAAAAAAGAAAAAATTTTAAAGAAAAAATGATTTA